GAGAGGAGCCCAGGGCCTTGGGTGGGTCGGGGGTTTGTTCTCAGTGCATTCTGAGCTGCTCTCTCCCTGGGAGGGCTGGGCTCGCGTGGGCGACCGCGGGTGGTGGATTTCCCCGTTCCTGCCCGAGGACCAGTTGTAAATGTTACCGCTTCTTACCAATAAATGCTGACCCGATCGAATGGAGCCCAGACGCTGACCCTGAACGTTGTGTGCCTGCTTTGTCTGCCTCTCTGCAAAATATCACCCTCCAGAAACTTCTCCCCCATCCTGGGGAGGGAGACATTGCTAAAAATCCAGGGCCCTTACACCTGACAAATTTCACCGATGTGCCTTTGAGCTTCCCTTTGTGTGTGCAGACCGGGCCTAGAGCCCTAGAGCGCAGCCCTTGGGGGACCTTGGTGCTTCTCCAAGCTTAGTTTCAGCGCCTCCTAGAACGCTGTGCCGTGGGCTCAGTGTCAGTCTCGAAGTAGCACCCAACGGAGCTGGCAGGCCCCAGGAGCCAAGCACCCTTTGGCTTGGGCTTTGACACACGGCGCCCCAGGCCTCCCTGGGCTCACGGAACCCCAGACGCCAACTCCCCTCTCCAAACAAGGGAAAGGCCAACTCTACACTCCAGAGCAACTCCTCCAGCTCGGCGGGCTGGCTGGCTCCAGGAGGTCCGAGCTGGTCAGGCTGTGAGCTTCTACCCCTCCCCACCAGAGAGCCCCAAAGTGACCTTAGCGATCAAAATGGTCAAGGCTCTCTTCCCCAGCCACCCCCATCCCACCGCCTCCTTCACCCCCACCCAGCTTCTGTGTATGTTTAGTCCCTTGCTTGGCCCTCTGAGGGCCGCATTCAGAGGCTAAAATGAAGGTCATTGTAACTGAGGGTTCTGCAGAGCACGGCCTCTACTAGCCGGAGAGGCGGCGGTGGCGCCGGGCGGCTGGCTTGGGCGGAAGGTGAGGGCGGTGGCAGAGATCTTGGGGATCCTGATGAAAGAGGGGACTGGAAGAAAAAGCAGAGGGGGGTCTGGGAGGGAAATCCAAGGCCCAGATCCGGCAGAAGGTGCTGTGTACCCCCGCCCCTGCAGCCAGCCCGATACCTAGGGCTCTTTGAAAACAGGAAGAGCCAAGGTGTCATAAAGCCATCGAGCTGGCGAGACGTCTGGAGGTAATGAGTTTACGACAGGCCCGGCGCTTCGCTTTGAAACCATCTCATTTTGATGTTTGTGTTTGTGGGAGGAAAGGAAAAATGCACACAAAACTGGGTCTTAAAATCTGGACAATAAAATATAAACAAGGCTGCGTTGGACCAAGAAGGCAGGGACTTAGGAGCCCCCGGGTGAGGTGTGAGCACCTAGGAAATAAACAGGAGCGGTAGGAAGGAAGATGTGATGTACTTGTGATTTCTTAAATGGGCAGGGTATTAGAATTAGCCTAAAGCGGGTGGCTTTTTATAAATATTTTGAATATGACCACAGTCACTCTAGCTGGGTTCTTAAAGAAAAAAAATCAGCCTGTTATTGGGAGTAGAAAGGCTAGTGATCTTGGGTCATTTACCCAGGAGAGACTTTCCCAGAAGTCTGGTCAGCGGGAAAAGATGAAGTTAGACTCCTTTTCACAAAAATATTTTGTCCTTCACCGCAAACTTTGAAGCAAAAATATTGTTGCAATTTGTGTCTATTCATTTATAAAAATTACAATTGTTACACCTAAACTGTAGGAACACATTTTTTAAAACAAGGAAAAAAGGATTACCCTCACAGGAAACACTTAAGCCAATTAGTCTTTGCTTTTTAAAAAACCGTTTAGTGGAATGCTTCATCAATTCAGCTCAGCCTGTGACTTGTGATATAAATTTTTAAAATCCCATTTATTGTCCCTAGAAATTCAAACGAACAGAAGTCCAACAGGGACTTTCCAGACAGCCACTCAGAGATCCAGCAAAGGGCTTTCGATTTGGCTTCGATTGCCCCAAAAATTGCCCAGCTAAATGGGCCCAAAGCATTAAAATTACAAAGATAAAATAGCAAATATTCTTGATTTAACGCTGAGTAATATCTTTAAAAGAAAAAAAGTTTGACTTCTATACTTTCTTAGTTGCTGAAGTGCCTCACAACTCTGTGGGGGAAAAGAGCCTCTTGGCAGTTGATATTTAGAAAGTTGTGATTTTTATGGAAATCTAGTCTGTCCCATAATTGTTTTAAAAGGCACAGCTGGGCGATTACAACATGGGGACCTCCGGAGTCTGGCAAAAGAAAGGCTAGAATTTTTTGGAAAAAGCACTACTGGAAGCTCTTGGGATCACAAATGAGAATATCCTTGGCATTCAGGAGCCCTTGTTTGCTGCACTTGACTTGTTGACAGTCACAAGGATGAAGCATTATTAGTGTTAGGGGTCCAAGCACCAGTCAAACTAAAGAACGAGCTTAGAATTGGTTTGAGACGAACAAAAAAGGGAAGTTAAGGAGGTGGCATTTAGCCACTAGAGGGCGCTGTTGCTCTACTTTCTGATCTAGTAAAGCGAGTTGCGGAGGAAGGTTTTGATTAAAAATATTTACAATCTTATTTTAAATCCCAAGTTAGGATAACTGTAACCAAAAATAAACAATATGCACTAGTAAATTCTACAGCAATGTTTGTTAGGCATAAAATTTTGGCTCAGTCAGGACTTTAGAAAATTTGGACCATGGCACAGCTGAAAAACTGTAAAGCAGTATGGTAAATTAATGCATTCTATCAAAACAAACCTGTAAACGCATAGGTCTTATTTACGACGTTAATCGTGCCCTTTTTCTACTCTTATTATAAACAGAATGCTTAAATAAATTTTAAAAACTGTTTTGTCCCAAGAGGAAATTCCGTGTTGTAACATTTTCTAAACTAGGCCTGAATATGTAAAAATGAATTTCATATTGTTTATGTTCATTTTTTCCCTTCAGGAATCTCACAGTTCTAGAAGGTGCCTTGTATTGTTGAGGTCCAGGCTGTCCTATTTTTTCCCCATTCCACTCCAAAACCCACTCATTTACTGAGGGTTTAAACACGCACACGCACGCACTCTAAACAGAAATAAAAAAGCACAATTACAAAGTTAGCTCCAAGGCTTTATTGAAAATAATAATCTCTTAATTGGGTATTTGCAAGATTGAAGTACAAATCCTTAACTGTCAGAATCAGTTCATTTGCCCTCAGACTTAAAGGAAGCTACCTGGCGATAACCGGCAGGGAAAAAAACAAAACAAAACGAAAACAAACAAAAAATCAACCTTCCACCAACCCCACAAAAAGAGTCTTCTGAACTCTCTGCTAATTTAAAAATTAAATAAAGCATGCCTTTATCATCTCCAGATTCATTAACCAACCGTTTACCTTAACCATTTCCAGCCATTCCCTGTAGAAATAACTGAGTCAGACATTATTATCCTGCTATGTCTGTCCATCTCGATCTCATTTTCTGAATCATTTCTGAAATGATATTCAGTCCACGCGAACCGACCTCAGAATCACGCTCACCAGCTGGGCCAACCCACAAAGAGAGAGGGGAGTAGTTGAAATTACTGGCCTGCAGCGTCTTTGAGACCAGGCTTTGAGTCTGGGGTTTTTAGAACTTTGCATTTGGTGTAGAAAGCCCGCGTAGTGTGTTTACGCTTAAGCCCGAGCATCCTCGGTGGGCTCCAGGCGTGTCTTCCAGGTTTGTTCGCAGGGCCCGTGGGCCTGACGCCCTCAGGATACTGGATGATCCCGAAAGAAAGGGGACTCAGTCGCCCAAAGAGCCCAAGAAAAAGGCCGGGTAGACGAGGGGAAAAAAACACAACAGAGACCCATTACGTTTATTGGACATTGACAAGGCAGAAGAGAGAAAAAGAAAGAAAAGTGTGGGGAGGCGGTTGGTGGTGTATAGCCAAGCAGCTTTGGAGAGAGTTTCTAAGAGGACTATTTTGCCAATTTGGGCTGCTTTTCTTCATCATTGCTCACAAACTACGCTGAGCCTTCTCTCGCGCTTTTTTTTTTTTTTTTTTTTGGAAAAATTAGTAACTTTGAGGCCCGCGCTCTGTTTTAGGCAGTTATTTCACAAGCTTGGCGGATGAACTAGAATAGTTAGCAGAAGACAGGGGCCGCCTGCCTGCAGCTGCCTGGATCCGGCAAGATCTGAACGCAGACCTGGAGGCTCCGCGGGGAGGTGCGGGCGTGGGCCCCCCGCGCTGCACCCGGGGCCACAGCCTGCGCTGATGTTCTGGGTGCCGCGCCGAGGCCCTGGAGCCCAGTGTCCTGCCCGAGGAAATGCCACCCACCCCAGCGTGAGTCCTCTTTCCCGCCTCAGAACAGTTGTTTGCTCTTCTAGTTACTCCCTCAGCAATGCTAATGCCGCCCCCCACACACACATTCTTCAGCCTCCCCCCTGAGTCTGGTGCTGACGTCTATCAAGGGTGAAATGATGGAAACTATATTCATGGGCATGATTTCCATTAAATATCAATTAACCTGGGAGCCTCTGCCAGGCATGCAGTGCGTCAAGGGTAAATGTACATTTCATTTCCACAAGGCCGGCTCGGCTGGAAAAGAAGGGTTTTGATAAGGCTAGGATTTGGGGCCTCGCTTGTGGCCTTTAATCAGACCACTTAGGCCCAAACTCAAATGCACGGTCCAGTTCGTCAACACCTCTTTCCATGTTCTATGGTCTGCACCCGCGTGTCCAGAGATGCAAAAGCCATGGCCAATCTATGCTGGGCTTCTCCAGGGGCTCGGTGAGGGAGTCATTTGCTCCGCGGCCTCCTGGGAGTGGCTTCCCTGCCTCCCCCAAGTCTAAGGTTCTGCCGCGCCCCCGCCCCGCCAGCTATGGCCCGCATTCCTTCGGCCCCGGGCGCCTGCGGCCCTTGGCAGTGCGGCTTTATGGGCCCCCTTTAAGACCGGCGGAGGCATCTCCAGGCCGGCGTGAGGCGTCTCTCAGGGAGAACCGACTTGCCTCTGCGCGGATCCCTCCGCGCCGTTATCTCGCGCCGATCACGCTACCTCTCCTTGCGGCGGCTGGGTGCGAAAATGCCTCGCCGGCGCGCACCGGGTCTGCAGCCTCGGCGGCGTGGGCGAGAGCAGTGGGAGGGGGCCGCGGGTGGGGGCGAGGTGAGATGTGGCAACAGGCAGAGGGTGCTTTTTTTCTTTTCCCTCCAGAGCAGGGATTTGTAAACCGAAGCCAAAGAGTGTCCCCGTGGGACGGGCGCACTTTTTTTCTTGTCCCGGTGCGCTCAGGACCTCCTGGTGCCTGAGAGGAAACAGTAGCGGCAGCGGGGCAGGTCACCCGGGGCGTCGGCGATTATATTGCGGCCGAGCCGGGGAGCGCCGGGAAAGGCCGGGAGGGCGGCGGCGCGCGGGGGCTGGGCGAGGCCCCGCGACCCGCGAGGGAGGCGGTGCGAGGCCCAGGCGGCGGGCGCAAGAGTTGGGCATGAGCGCCCAGTAGCTGAGCGCCCGCGGCTGCCCGGCCTCAGAGGCGACGCGCGCGCGGGCCGGCGGCAGCAGCGACGTGGCCTGGCGGCCCCCGGCGGCACGAACAGCCGCCCCAGAGGCCCCCGCGGCAGTGTGGCCGAGCCGAGGCGCGCTCCCTGCCTGCTCCGCGCCGCCTGCCCGCTCCGGGTCGCCGCCGCCCGGATGAGTTCGTACTTCGTGAACCCGCTGTACTCCAAGTACAAGGCGGCGGCCGCGGCGGCGGCTGCGGCTGCGGCGGCGGCAGGCGAGGCCATCAATCCCACTTACTACGACTGTCACTTCGCGCCCGAGGTCGGCGGCCGCCACGCCGCAGCCCTGCAGCTCTATGGCAACAGCGCCGCCGGCTTCCCGCACGCGCCCCCGCAGGTGCACGCGCACCCGCACTCGTCCCCCCAGCCCTCGGGGCCGGGGTGCGGCGGTGGGGGCGGCCCGGGCCCCGGCCTGGGCCAGGACTATTTCCACCCCGGCGGGGGCAGCCCGGCCGCTGCCTACCAGGCCGCCCCCCCTCCTCCTCCGCATCCTCCGCCTCCGCCGCCTCCCCCCTGCGGCAGGATTGCCTGTCACGGGGAGCCCGCGAAGTTTTACGGATACGATAACTTACAGAGACAGCCGATTTTTACGACCCAGCAAGAGGCCGAGCTGGTACAATATCCTGACTGTAAATCGTCCAGTGGTAATATTGGCGAGGACCCAGACCACTTAAATCAGAGCTCGTCTCCTTCTCAAATGTTTCCCTGGATGAGACCACAAGGTTGGGATGCATTTTTTTTTTTAAGAGGGGAGAGGGGAAGAAATCTGTTTTCATCTCACGTTCTAGCTTTAAAACTCCCCTTTCCTCTCCCTCTCCCCCTCCTTTTCCTTCTTGTGTAGCCACAGTGGCTCTTATTCATAAAGTAATACAGACTTTTTTTTGAAAGTGGAAACCATGTAAAGATAATGGGGACAGAATGATTGTGAAGACCTTCTCTCTGCCTCTCTTTGCTGCACAGTCTATATATATTGGAGCTAAAGAGCGCTGTGCATATTTCACCCCTTAGGCCCCTGTTCCACAAACCGCCAGCAACATGCAGAGACACCCTTACATTTTTAAACGTTTATCCCCCCCCTTTTTGTTTGTTTTAATCAGCAGCTCCTGGTAGACGAAGAGGAAGACAAACCTACAGTCGATTCCAAACCCTAGAGCTGGAAAAGGAATTCCTTTTTAACCCTTATCTGACCAGGAAAAGAAGAATCGAGGTTTCTCACGCCCTAGCCCTCACCGAGAGACAGGTAAAAATCTGGTTCCAGAACAGGAGAATGAAATGGAAAAAGGAGAACAACAAGGACAAATTTCCCGTTTCCCGGCAGGAGGTGAAGGATGGGGAAACCAAAAAGGAAGCCCAAGACCTGGAGGAAGACAGATCCGAAGGCCCGACAAATTAACGTCCATGTTTAAAGTTTTACCACAGACTGTTAAAACTAATGATCAACATATGCTGGTGGACACCACCTATTTTCTTTTTTGGAAAGGACTCTACCTGTATTTCAAGCTACCTTCATGTCACTGCTCTTGAGGTTTCTGCGCTTTAAGAGGGATTTGGGTGTTAAAAAACAGTTCTAGTATCGCATAGAAGCAGTCCTTGAACTGTCCTATGAAAGGGTAATTTGATACTGACCTTGTAGCTATATTTTTATAATGGTTTTAAATGTCCGAACTGGTGATTTGCCTCAACAACGTAAACTTCCTAATGATTAGCACTAAATAATTGAAATGCTTTATTAATCAAGTGCACTTGAATATTTTAAATCTTTACGGTGAGTAAATTAAAAGAAGTCTATTAATTTTTTTAAAAAGTATGGCTGCAGAATATTTAGTTTATATTATTTGATTAAAATGTATTATTTATGTTTTTTTCTTTCTGCCTTTATAATGAATGGTTAGGGTGCCTTTTGTTTACTCCTAAATAGTGTCTTTCAGTATTTTCTAAATGTAATATCTGGGGGTGGGGGAAGAAGCCTGGGCCAAATATTTGAAAAGCACATGTTAGCTAAAGAGTGTAATGTGTAGTTCCCACTCTACAGCTTCCTTAAACTTCAAGAAAAGATAAGGCCAGTGACACGTTTCAAGATAATGTCAAAGTTGACATTTAATCATTTTTCTATAGTCCATACCAATTATGGCAATTAAATAATCTAGAGTGCATGAATACTTGAAAAACCAATTATAACATTTTCACTTATTAACTTTTCATTCTGGCAAGTCGTCTTGTGGAATGAGTCTCATTTCTCAACTTGCTTTCGTTTTGAACCGCGCTTGTAATCGCCTGAAATCACTAGGTCTCTTTGCCGTGGCTGCCGTCGCTGTGATTCCGTTTTTTCGATAGTTGCCATATTTATTTGTATTCCTTTTGTTGTGTCCGCAAGCTCGTTTTAAGCCAGCTTGCTGTGCGCATCGCAGATGTCGGTTGGTACGTCCTCTGCTGTTCTTCGGGAAAGCGATGGCCTCACCTATTTGAAACAAGCCCTGAGAGCAAACGCAGAAAAATCTGAGTGTAAACAACCGCTCCAAAACATAGCTAGCTCCTTAATAAAGAAATGAATCTCTTTCTAGAGCTAGTGTCTTTGAGCGCCGAAAATACCCTCTCTTGCCTTAGTCACTAACAATCGCCTGGGCTCAGGGGAAGGCAAGGACTCTTGCTCACGGCTTCTGTTTGATGAGAAAGGGGTGGGGTTACACGCAGCCCCCACGGTTAAAAAAAAATTGCCACAGGGCCCCCTCTCATTCCTGAGAGGGCTGGCTAAGCTATCCTTGCTTCATCTTGCTTTAAATAATCTTGCTGAGATTCTATGAAAGCTTTGAACCTCGCAAAGGACTCGAGTTGTAGGTCCAGTGGGAAATGACCCAGAGTCCAGGTTCCACCACAGCTTATTCCACTGAGCCGGCGTTGATGCTGGGGTTTGGCATCTGTTATTAACAAGATATCTATTTTCCATTCCAGGCAGCTCCTGCAGCTGCCATTTTACCGGGAAACGGAGGCGGAAGGGGAGAGGGAGAAAAGAGGAGAAATTCCAGTTAAGTAACATTTATCCTTGAAAAAGGGAAAGCATCTTTATTGGGTAGACATTGAAGAGCTCTCTGCTTTTTCTAGGTACAGTTATTTTTAAAATTTTAATTTAATTTCCATTTTAATTTCCAAGAATGGCTTTTATTGCACAGGTAAGAAAATGGAATCCTATAGTTTCCAGCCAGGGTTACCCCTGCAGGTGTTGGCAGGCTGTTTGCCGCTTCATGGACCTCAGAAATGTTGGCACGGGTGGGTCAGAAGGGAAGCACCACTTGGCTTTCCACCCTAGGAAGAGGCCATGGCTGTGACATTTGCTGACCTGAGCCAGGAAAGACAATTTTAAGTCACAGATGGCCAGGCAGGACTTAAACATTTGCACTCCAGGAGACAGCTGCAGATGCGCATGCTGAATTTGGGAACATTTTTGCTCTGTGCACTGCCTGAGATTCTGCTGTGCGCTGGTACAGAGCAAGGATGTAAAGGGCCCAGAGCATGGCTAGGGAACACCCTCCATTGTAAACCATCCAAAAACCGGTGCTAGCTAAATTCCAGCTGCCCTTGATTTAAGGGACTCCTCTGTATATTGGAAAAACTCCCTATCTCCTGCTCAAGGGTGCTTCCCTAATATCCCTTTTACAGTCCTTTCAATGATTTTGACAAGACTGTGTTAGGTGAAGGACTAGTGCATGGCGGGTGTGAAAATCAGGAAGGAAGGGGAGGTAAAAATGTCCTCAGCGTACGTGCTGGTCTGGAAGTGTTGTACCTTCTTGCCCCATTGCCCCTCTAAACCATGGTAAAATCATAGTTCGTGTACAGACAAAGACTGTTACAATCACTGGTATATTTGAGAATATGAATTTGTGCATATACATAGATTACACACAGAAAGTGTTAATTATAAATGTAAGTATATATGTTTCCTTTTGTAGCTGGGAAAGACTATAGATTTGTCGTCAAATAAACGCCTTGGGGAATTAACACAGCACACATTGGCCACCTTCTTCTTACACTGAGTAGACATTCCTATCCCCATCATGGTGTTTCATGCAGACAGACTGGTAGTGACTTGCGCACAAGACGCCCTTCTAATTGGCTCAAATCTGTCAACATCCAAGTGCAGAGACAACAAGTAAACATTTTTTGCTGCAGAAATTTGCATAAGCCTTTAGAGAATGCTTTGCAAACCCAGGCAGAGCTTTTTGGTTCTGTACTGCAGCAGTCTGCCTAGAGAGGTCTGTAAACCATTTAGAGAAAAATAGGACTCTCTAGTGTTAACATTGAATGAAAGAACCAAGACTTAGGAGTGATTTTGGCTCTCTGATTGCAAGGACCAGAAACACACAAAAGAGGGTGTGGGTCTCAATGGTTTCTAGAGAAAAGTCAGTTCAGATATGCCATTTTGTGAGGTTCCACAAAGCCCAGTACATCACTTACCTTTGCACAGGGAGAAAAAAATGCAAATATGGCTGCCTTTTCAGAGAAAAGAGTTTCTTCCCAGCCCTCATTCCTCAAGCTGAAAAGGAGGGTCATAAAGTTCCACTTTTATTTGGGTAGACAGGGAAAGGACAATGAGGCAAATTGGCTATTGAGATTATTTCTCAGAAAATTTTGGAATTGAACAAACTCAGTTCCATGTGTATATACCAGTAAAGTGTTCTGGGCTTGGGAGGGCCCAACAACTTGCCCCATTTGCTTGTGCATTTTAAAATATTGTTTTATTCTTCAAGGCAGAAGGTATTGCTATTTCACATCCAAGCTTGCTGTGTCCTCTGCTTCCCCAGTGTTTGCTGAATCCTTGGGCATCTGGGAGTGGACAGGGGAAGGAAGAGAACATTTCAACGGACTCTGGCTGCTGCTGTGGTTCCTTCCAGCAAAGTTAGGGCCCACTGGTTTTTTCTGGAAAGAAAATGGCTTTTGCTGACAGATGGCAGCAGCAGTCCTTTAATCAAAAACATTCAAGGTCATCAGAACTTTTTCAAGGGATACAAATGTCCTGCTCCAGAGGGTGCTGTACCATTGTCTGCCGAAGTCCATATCTACATAGGTACTTACTGGGTATGAAGATATTAATAGCGAGAACTTATACACAGATATCGGATGCAAATATTTATAAACATATTACTGGAAGTCTAAAGACTGTTTGAAGAGACTGGGGAGTGAGGAGATTACTTCTTTCAGGCAGGCTCTGAAGCTTGGATGGCCATGCCCATGAGGGGAATGCTGGAGGCCAGCCAAGGACATTTACTGTCAGGGGGAAATCACCAGAGCAGTTCCCATGAGAAATACAAAGGGAATGTGAAGTCTGCTTTTGAGGAAAAATAATTTTTTTTTCCCTAGGCTGATCTGGGGACATAACTCTTTTCCTAAACAAATGAAACCCTTCTCTTTAGCATCGGATTGAGCAGACTTTTAAATGGACGAACATGGGGTGGGGGGAGGGGGCAAGAGGGAACTAGAATTAAATTCCATACAAATGAGAATTGCTCTTAGAGGGGGACCTAAAGCTATGGGTTTCAGAAGGGATCCAGAAATGTTGCTTCTTCTCTAACCCAGACTGACCAGAGGATGTTTCTGTGTCTGTGGATATAAAGACTGGGCAGTGGGCTCTCAAAATGGTATTTTGGAGAGATTGGCGAGTAGCTAAAACCATTTCCGGCTTTTGAGCTGGTTAGTGACTCTCCTACCACAGAAACTCCAGGAAATGGAAGGGACCCCAATTTATGTTGGAGCGGGATGGGGGAGGAGGGAGTGAGCACTTTCTTGGCCTGCAGAGCCCAGGTTGTTTTCTCAAGATCACTGGAGCTGGCTCATACCGAGATGACAGGAGGAAAAACCGAAAGTGCTTGGCTGCCCTGCGGGACCGGACTTTTTGTGCGGGGAGGGGAGGAGAAGCCAAGTGACTGGCGTAGGGGGAGAGATGGGTGGGGGGAGGTGCTGCGAGGATCGTCTCCCAGCGCTTGAGCGGTACACCGCACTCATTCTCCCTCGTTCACCGAGGCCAACTGCGCAGAGGTTGTGGGCCAAGCCAAAAAAAAAAAAAAAAACCAAATAATTCCTAGAAAAAAGAGAGAGAGAGAAGACAGAGAGACGAGAGAGAGAGAGAGAGAGAGAGAGAGAGAGGAGAAAGGAAAGGAGGAGAGGGACGGAGAAAGAGGAGAGGAGGGAGGAAGGGGGAGAGGGTGGGGGAGAGAGAGGAAGAGAAAGAGAGGAGGAGAGGAGCGGGGAGACAGAAAGAGAGGAAAAAACATGGCGCTTGCGAGCTGTATGTGCAAAATCCGCAAGGAATTGCAGTAAATTCCTTTTTGTTTGAAGAAAATTTACAACTTGGTAATAGACCTTTTTATGACCTATTTGCGGTCGTCATTGGCTGCGGCTGGTCATGTGCAGGCGCCGCTCGCCTTCACGGCCTTTTTCCTGATTTCCCAGGCGAATTTCCCCCCGCATTCTGCTTTCCCAGAGCCTCACCCCCTCTTTTTCTAACCTTTGTCTCTGCAGAGGTGGGCTCCAGTCGTCGGCTGCGGGATTGCGGAGTCCGCGGCGGCCTGGGCTCCCGCCCGGCGCCCGACCTGGCCCCACCGTCGCTCGCTCTGTCCGCACCGCTGCCACCTCCGGAGCTGGCGGGGAGCCCGGTGGGGAGCCTGGAAGGAGCCCTGGGCGCCGAGCCCCCCGCCGGCGCGACACCGCCTGCCAGGAGCAGCAGGCCTTTTCGGCGGGATGGCAGCCGCGCGGTTCCGAAGCGGTTCCTTCTCCCACATGAGCCGGTCCCTGCCGCCTAGA